ACCTCTCAGCCTGCGTTCGCTCCTCCGGCAGCCAAGGGCGGGCGCAGGTCCCTGAAGGCGCGCGACGGCACAGCGGACAAAAAGAAACTTTGGGGTATCCGAAGTGCCAGCTGGCGGGGCGATCGGTTGACTTTTCCTCCGTAATCTTTAGGATTAGCCTCTCAAGGAAGCGAGATGTCGAAGCCTCCTCCCAAACCCGTCAAACCAGGTAAGCGAGGCACTCGGAGGATCCCCTGCCCGCCGTGGTGCCCTGCGCTTCCTCTGCCACTTGGCAGGGCAGACAGCGCACGTACCCGGCCCCAGCCTCGCTTCGGAGGAAAGACCCACCAGGGTAGGGACTCCGAACTGGGTGCCTTCGCTCAAGGGGAAGGCTCCCTTTAGATAGCTACAGGATTTAGAGGAGTAAAAAAATGCTTAAAGAGGAGTCGCCTCGGTTTTGCAATATCGTCGTTCGCTGCAGCTTTCCAGCGACGGTAATGGCAACGTCCCACGGAAGCTTTCCGGGAGGGCAGTACATACATAATTTTGTACTGTATTTGTATGTATGATCTCCCTTCAAAACTTTTTAAATAAGGATGTCTTGAATTGGTCTTTAGCCACTTCCTCTTTTCTCTGTGTGTCACTGTCAAGTTAGAGTTCTTGACCTGCCAGAGCGAACGGGAAGTGTGCTCTGCTGGTAGGGTGGGGTGGACAAGCGACTCTCCTTTGGGACTTGCCACCGCAGCCGCGTTTCATATTGACCTAAGGACTTTGGGAAGAGAGAAGCAAACGAACCGTGTCTAAACGAAAATTTAGGAAACTCCTGGCCGGAAGAATCCAGGGTGCTGTTACTTTTCGGAAGTGTCAGTTTATCACGCAATACATGTCTTTCGCCTCTTCTCCTCCAATGACTCTGAGGTGCTAGAGAGTTTGATTGCGAAGTTCCTCAAAGCATTTTCTTCGCCAGTAATCCTTGTTTAGTTTTGATTCTGTTCTCATTTTTCGTGATATGGAAAAACGAGAATTGAAAAGGGACTGATGTATTTCAATTTTATACTGTAATAAATTCTTAGGGGTGTCTATTTGGGCAAATATTTATGGGAAACGCAGGAAATGGAAGATAACATGGCTTTGATGTTTTTTCTTCCAATCTCCTGTAATTTTGATATAGCAAAGGCTGAAACTTTATCCATTTACACAAATTAAAAAAAAAACATTTTTAGGGGGCTGGCAGGTGGTGTGGTGGCTAGACTCCCACAAGGTCTACATGGTTCTAGTCCTGGACCTGGAGGCTTGCTTTCCCCCTTTCCCTCTTTCTCTTCTGTCTGTCTGTCTATCTCTCTCTCTCTCTGGAAAATTTTTTTTAAAAAAGTTAAATATTAAAAAAACTTTAAAATTTTTTTAGAATTATTTATTCAAATTTATTATTATTATTATTTTAATTTGCTATAGAGCAGAAGAGGCAGAGACAGAAAAAGTGAGAAAGCAAACCACCAGGCCCAGGACTCGAACAGCAGTCTGCTATGTAAGAGTCCAGCACCTTAACCATTATGTCATCTGCCAGGGCCTGTACTAACTTGAAGTAACTTAATTGCAAGAGATAGTTTTCAGTGATTAATGTTCTTCCTTGATTTTTCTAAACTTTGGTCAAACATTACAGAGAAACAAACGAACTTTTGTTTTCGTACTTATTCAGTTTTCTTTGTGATCATACAATGGCAGTATCAAGTTGCTTTATTTGAAAATTATGTATGTACGAATATGTGGAATAGTCGTCCCTGAGGACTTTAATTTTGATGGACTGAGTGTGTAGGAAGTTGCTGAGTGGCTCTGGGGAGCTGTGAGCAAAGATGGGTGTGGCTAGAGTTGGGCTTTGCTTGGTATCTGATGTGGAATCTGATAGGAAATTTGCATCTTAACTGGGTATGTATGAAGTGACAGCTTTCTAAACTCATGTAAATCAAGACCTCAAGTATCCAACAAAGCATAGTTGTTCTTTGATAGCCACACAATGTACTTTATTTTAAAGACTGCCCTGAAAAACAGTTCATAAGGTTTTTCATCTCTGTAAACGTGATGTCTGTGTTGCATCTGGGGGGATGTGGATGGAAGTGTGTTTGAATGTGTACACGAGGTGTGTACTTGTGTATTTATGCACACTTGCCTGGGGTTAGGGGTTCGTTCTGTTACTTCCAGGATCCATTTTGGTTGTCTGACATCACTTCTTTCTCTTCAGCTAATCGGAAAGCACATGGTTAACTGTGCCTGCTGTTAAGAGAGAACCTTGACTCCATATTCGTGTGTACATAAGCTCTAAACGTAACATAGGGTCGCTGTAGAGATTGGATTGTTGGCTTTATAACTTACAATGAGATACGTAACTCTGACTGAAACCTTGTGTGGGCTGGCTTAATTGAAAACAGAAGGGTCCTGTTATAGAGTACTGGTCCACATTTACTTTTGTGCTGGGCATGGGTCTAATCACTTGCGTGTTTATTGACTCATTTATTCTTCATGACAATCCTGTGAGGTCTACGCCATTACTGTTCCCACTGCACAGGTGGGAAATGAAGGCAGAACACAGAAAGGTTTGTTCATTTGTTTAAAATGAGCAGTTAGGGAATGGAGGGTGGGAGTTAGGAGGCAGGAGTAGAACCCAGGTAGTTTTTTTTTTTTTTTTTTTTTGGAGAGGTTTTTGCTGTAGCGCGGGTGTGCTCACCAGAAAGAGAGAGAGAGAGAGACAGAGAGAGATAGAAAGCGAGAAATCACCCCCTGGGGGTATGGCCACGCCCCAATCCCTTCTCCTCCTTTCTTCTCTTGGGATTTTGGGCATGCACGAACATGCACCTGGTGTGAGTTTAAGCCACTGGGTCCAGGACTCGAACTGCGGTTGACTACATGGGAGTCCAGCGCCATAGCCATTACACTAACTGCTGGCCCCAGAACCCAGTTAGTTTGACTCTGGGATCTGTCTTCTGAACCCTTATGTGATTCTGCCTTCAATCACAAGTACTGTTCATGTTAGTGGTCATGTGTATTTTAGAGCTGATGGACCAGAACCGGGAAAGAAGGGACCTTGGTCCTCAGAATTTCTTGTCACAGTGCACGTAAAGGTCACCCTCTGGTTGGGAGTAGAAAGGAGGGGGGTGTTATGCTTTACTTTCTTATCCTGCAGGCAAGCTATATGGGTAAAAATATTCAAAGCAAGCTTGCAATGAGAGTAGGGAAGGAGAGTGGTATACACACACACACGTACACATATGTACACATATATGTATTTTTTTCTAAAGAGAGATTATTGCTGTAGGACCCATGCCCTCACTGGAGAGACAGAGACAAAGATTCTGAAAGTGAGAAATCACTCCCTTCCTCCCTGGGTGGATGACCATGCCACAATCCCTTCTCCTCTATTCTCCTTTCGGGATTGTGGGCGCACACACATACACACATGCTAATGTGTTTTAAGCTTCCGGGTCTGGGACGTGAACCACAATCGACCACTATTAGCCATCTGCTGGTCCCTCAGGTTGGGGGCTGGAGGGTGGGGGTGGTGGTGGGAGAGTGGTAGGTTTAATTTTTGGTTTCTCTGCAATTTTTATACTGCCTCATCCCAAAGGAATTCTAAAAGTACAAGTTATCTGAGAGTGGGATAAAAAGATAAAGTGAGACTGAGTAGAGGCAGGGAAGAAGAATGAGAGTCCACCAGAGGGAAAGTTTGCTTACAGTCATGCACATTGTAAGGCCCTACAGAGTTACTGAAGGAGGGCTATAGGATTGGCTCACAGCTTCAAGCAAAGAGACAAAAGATCAATTACCAGAGTCCTCACCCTCATGAAATTACAGTGTGTTCTTTGCTCTGAGAAGCAGCGTTGTAATGGCACAAAGTGCTGGGGCAGGCTTTTCCCTTGGATTCTCTTCAAGTGTTGGAGGGGTCTGGGCATCTCAAGGAGAAGCACAAGAGGGAACATCGTAGAAGTATTTCTTACACCTTCCTTTAGAGCAAGATTCAAGCAAAACAGCATGCCCCAATCGCATAGGCGATACTGAAATGGGAGCATTAGTGAGGGGAGACATATGTGTTCAAATGTGTTACTAGAAGCTTTCTTTTTTAAAGAATTATTTTATCAAACTTTATTTATGTATTTATTTGTTTTAATTTCACCAGAGAGGGAGAGGGAGAGAAAGAAGGGGGGGGTGAAGGAGAGAGAGAGAGAGAGAGTGAGAAAAGAAAGTGAGAAAGCAAGTTGCCAGGTCCGGGACTTGAACCACAGTTGGCGATATGAGAGTCCCCCACCCTTAACCACTATGCCACCTATTAGTCCCTATTGGAAGATTTTTTAAAAAAGAAAAATAATTGCCAGAGGGCATGTGTGCTCACTGAAGAGAGACAGACAGAGAGAGAGAAAGAGAAAGTATCCCCCCAATGGGGCATGGTCATGCTCAATTCCTTCTGAATTTTCCATCCTATAAAGATCTGGGGCACACACACATGTGCCTGATATGCTTTTCAAGACACTGGGGCTAGGATTTGAGCCATGCTGTCATTCAGGTCGGATCCAGTTCTTTTAACAACTGGGATATGGGGTTGGCTTGGAAGAATTTTATTTATTTATTTATTTTTAGTTTTTCTTATAGGGCCAGTATGCTTGTTGGAGAGAGAAAGTGAGAAATCACCCCCAGGGGGTGGCCATGCCACAATCCCCTCTCCTCCATTCTCCTCCCAGGATTGTGGACACTCACACATATGCGACCAGTGTGATCCTCAAGCTGCCAGGTCTGGGATTTGAACCACACAGTCAGCTATGTGGGATCCGACTGCCCCAACCTTCATACCACCTGTTGGCCCCTAGCCTGGAAGATTTTAATAGTAGTGGATATTAAAACTCTAATGTAGAAAATACATCTTTTGGGATGGTTAGTCTATGGCCAACAAGGGACCATTCACAGCAGGAGGCTGCCCAGGCCAGTCCTGATCAGATGCTGGGGAGAGCCAGGCCACGTCCGTGACGTCCTGAGACTCTTATAGAGTCCCCTTGTTTGGGTTTCTGGCCATATCCAGAACTCATTTGCTAAACATTTCTTGGGCCCTGTGCTGGGCACTGGAATCTCAATGTATAATAAAAAAAGGTCTCATCTATGAGGATTCTAAGTCTAATGGGGGAGATTTGTATGTTTATAGATTTTATCTTAAGTTGTCTTACAGCATAATTAGATGGCTGCTCTCATTCA